CTATTTTCAATGGGCCTTCCAATCATTTGGTGATGGAATGACATTAAAAAAATACCTAAGCCTGAAACTGCTAGATACAGAACTCACATCATTTTAAGTTTATGTTTGGCCTCTGGAACTTTATACAGAGTCAGATTTGAGTTCAAAGTAGAGGGAACTGAACTAATACATGTAGAAGTTTTTGTGGGGTTGTTTGTATGTGTGTTTTTAAAGAAGAAATCCTTAACTGGATACTCTTGTTTCTTCTACTAGAATATAAATAAAACCATATCACAATCCAGAGGAGCTTGCTTTATCACAAACATATCATATCTGTACTGGGCTACAAGGAACAGAGAACTAAAATCTCTTCTTTAAACATGTTATATTTTAGATAATATTAAGTATAGAGTAGTCTCTTCTCATGAAATTTTGCTCAAGAAAAATCTCCATTTTGAAGTAACACCATATTCCTTTCTCAGGTTTACTGTTACTCTGGCAGAGTCTATCAGTATCATGAGCCACACCGAGTACTGACTTTAGGTAGTTACTTAGGAAGAACAGAACAAAACACGTTGCTTGTTGAAATGAAAAAGTGAAGGAAAACAAAGAAGCCTCATCATTTCCCTAGTTATCAGCAAGTAACTACTGAGAGAGAGAGGGGCAGGTGATTATTATATGAATAAGATGATTACATTAGTTCTATCATGCCACCAAGATCATGCATCATCATTTTTAAAAGGTTATAGTGAATACATAGGTCATTAACTAAGAGCACTCTGAAAACAACCTGACAGTAAAGACAAAGAACAAGTAATAGTCCAGTCAAATCAAACATTCTTTAGACCAATACTTGTTACAAAAATAAGCTAGCTAGAAAGTCTTTTTTTAAAAAAGTAATTCAAATGGGAACTTCACATTAATTTTAAAAAGTGAACCCGTCAATTTGGATCCAGCTTACCTCTTACTGTGAACAAGCACAGAGGTAGAAAAGTCTGAGTCCGTAGCTAAAAGCCTCAATAATCCAAAACAGATAAATGGATTGTAAATCATTAACACATGTATTTTCTATGCAAACCTAAACCCAGATTTGGGCACATCTACTCCCCATAATTCAGTTTCTACTTCTACATAGTCTTATAAGCTTATGATTCAGCCACTGTATTGTATATATTGTAAAATATCAAGCATTTACACTCTAAAATATTCCATCTATATGCAAACTGACATGTTAATCATACATTACCTTACCAACTCACTAAAGTTGCAGCCCATGGTGCTTTATGTATCAATACTTTGTATTTAGACTTAATTGCATATATCTGAAAGTAATGAATCTAATGCAGATTAAAACACAATTTTCTATATGTACTATCTAATGATTCTGATTTTCCTGCTCCGATTTAGAAATCACTGACACTGCTGAATGAAATTAAGTTCCGTAAGATGGTAACTTGAGTACAAACAGATCTGCATCTCCCAATATAAAAGATACCTTTATCAGCACAAAAACCTTGAGAAGAGTATTAGCGATACCCCAAACCTCCAGGGATTTCTATAATATACAATAAAGGACTATTACAGGGAAGGGCAAACCCACCAGACTTATCGAACGTAAAAGAACAACCTGTCTAGGAGACATGACATCTAATAGAACAAAGAATGGACTTAAAAGTAGGCATTTAGTGCAAGACATATAATCCAAATCCCTTAAAAGCCTTTGGAAAGTGAGATACATATCAAAGATTTAACCCAGCTATCATCTAGGAATTATACTTGAGAAAACTGGACAAATATGCAAAGATTATGTTTAAATATGATAATCACCATAGTTAATACTAAATCAATAAATGTGAAACTATAAATAATCTAAATATTCATTAATAAACTGATATATGATTTTACTCAAATAATGGAATATTACTTGTATGTAAATTTACACTGACAAGGAGTGAGCTCCATAACATACAGCTGACGGAAAAAAAAAAGATTAAAAATGACATATATACATCACTCATCACCAGGGAAATGCAAACCAAAACTATAAAGAGGTATTACCTCACACCTGTCACAATGGCTAAAATCAACAACACAAGAAATAACAGGGGTAGGTCAGGATGTGGAGAAAAAAGAACCCTTATGCAGTGTGAGTGGGAATGCAAACTGGCGCAGCCAATGGAAAATGGTATAGAGCTTTGCCCCAAAATTAAAAATAGCATTAACCTATGATCTGGGACTCACACTACTGGGTATTTACCCAAAAATACAAAAACGCTAATTCAAAGGGATACACGCACCCCTACGTTTATAGCAGCATTACTTACAATAGCCAAATTATGGAAGCAGTCCAAGTGTCCATCAGCAGATGAACAGATAAAGAAGATGTGGTATATACAATGGAACGTTACTCAGCCATAAAAAAAAAGAATGAAAGCTTGCCATCTGCAACAACATGGATAGAGCTAGAGAGTAGACTGCTAAGTGAAGTAAGTCAGAGAAAGAAAAATACCATATGATTTCACTCATATGTGGAATTTAAGAAACAAAACAAAGGAGAAAAAAAGAGAAAGATGAACCAAGCAACAGACTCTTAATTATAGAGAACTGATGGTTACACAGGGGAAGAAGTTGGGGGGATAGGGGAAATGGGGATGGTGATTAAAGAGTACACGAAAATGCATCTCCAGCAATTCTCCTTTAAGAATTTATCTTAAGGAAATGACAGTTCTATGACTGTCTATGACAGTACTACTTTAAATTACTATGTAATTTAAAATAGCTAACATTTCTTACAAATGATCTCATTTAATCCTCACAACTGCTATTACCTCCGTTTTACAGTTAACTTGTTCAAATCACATGGTATATGAAAGAGCTGGGAGCTGAATAACATGTACGACACATCTTAGTAGAAGAAAGATCACACCTTATAAATTATGCCAAAGGACTCCTGCCTTTATTCAAGGCAAGCAGTGAGGAAGTCACTGGAAGCTGTTGAGCAGGAGAAACAACAGGATCAGGTGTGTATTTTGCTATGTAAAGAGTGGTTGCAGGGAAGACACAAATGAGATGAGAGACACTTGTACACATTAGAGAATTAAATGTAAATGGAGAGAAGACAGATCCAAGAGATGTGAAAAAAACAAAACAAAACAAAACAAAACAACACTAAACTAAAATCAAAAGGATCAGTGACCAGTTCAACCTGAGCTGTTAAGGAGAAGGCAGTATTAAGGATGACTCGTAGGTTTCTGACCCAAGCGAATGTGTGAATGAGAGTGCTCTTTACATTACAGGGGGAGAGAGAAAAAGCCAAATTTTAAGCATGTTATGTTTAAGGTGATTATGGAGCCTCAAGAGGAACACCCAGATGCATTTTTAAGTCTGGGGGGTGGGGGGGGGAGGACGGGGAGGAAATAAAGCTTTGGGCTTCAGTAGCCTTATTTTAATTGCGATCATGGCCAGCAGAGGAGATCTTGCAGGGAGAGTGAGAACAAAGATGTCGGAAATCAAGGGAATACTGCTGTTTTAGGAAGAGATGATCCAAAAGAAGCTCACAGGGAGACTGAGAAGGAGAAACCAGACAAGGAGAAGGACACAGCTGTTGCAGAAAGTCAAGAAAAGAGTTTCAAACAGGGAAAGCGTTTCCAGTGAGTTAGTGCTCAGAGAAGTCCCGACAGTAAAGTCTTAAAAGTCTTTCTTTGATTTAGCAATGAAATGACTGTGGACAGGGTGGTTTAAAATGACATATATATTATAGGTATACATACGGAGAAAGAACTGCACAAATTATCACCAAAATGCAAATGAAATGAGGGTTGCCTCTGGGTGGTTAGATACTTGATAATTACTTTCTTCTTTATAATTACTGGTGTTGCTTAAATTTTCTAAATAAATACATACTGTCTTTGTTATAGGAAAACCATGTTCTTTGTGTTGAAAAAAGAAAGCATATTTAGTTTTTTTTAATTTTTAAAAAAATTTTTAATTTTTTAAATTTCTTTTCAGCGTACCAGAATTCATTATTTATGCACCACACCCAGTGCTCCATGCAGTACATGCCCTCCATAATACCCACCACCAGGCTCACCCACCTTCCCACCCCCCGCCCCTTCAAAACCCTCAGATTGTTTTTCAGAGTCCATAGTCTCTCATGGTTCATCTCCCCCTCCAATTTCCCTCAACTCCCTTCTCCTCTCCATCTCCCCATGTCCTCCGTGTTATGCTCCACAAATAAGTGAAACCATATGAAAATTGACTCTCTCTGCTTGACTGGTTTCACTCGTATATTTAGTTTTTAATACTACAATTCCACTTGGGAGATTATCTTGAGAAAATAATTGAAAAATTCATGAAAATATAGATTCAAAGGTATCTATCCCAGCACTATCTAGAATAGTGAAATACTGGCAATAACCTAAATGATCAGTAGTGAATCTGTTAAATAAATTTAGGGTTAACTGTGTAATGGCATACTACAGAAGTCACTAAAAATGAAGACAAAGATATATTCATTACTAGTTCAGTGATCTTGGAAATAATACATATCCTCTAGGAATCAATTTCCTCATCTGTAAAATGGGAATAAAAAGAACACTTACTTTATAGTGCTTTATCTAGCTTATTAGCTATATCCTACTGTGATCGGAAATAAAAAACCTGATGCTCATGAGCTTCCTTCAACATCACGTACCCCTATTTCAAAACCAACTTTGCTCTATGCTTTTAAAAAATACTTCAAAATCAACATTCAACTTGGCCATAAATCAAATTAAGAAGATATGCATCTAAGACCACAAAGGCAATGAATATCAAAGTGGAAAACAGGAAATTCCTATAACTTCTATTCTGTTTTTTAAAGACTCCTGTAAATTTCACGAGCTAATGCTTATTTATTCACCCACGCATGTAGGAAACAGTGCCTGGAAGGCAGAACAGGGCTGATCCAGATGCTTATGGGCCCGGGGGCCAGTACGAAATCACCTAGATTATGGTGACAGAGGGAACTGGATCCCTACTTAACCCAACAACACAATTTATACAAACATACTGGTTAGCTTCATCAGTTTTACCATCACTGTCCGTTTATTTTGTTGCTTTAAGCAGCTGAAACCAACCTGCCATGGTCTCTCCCAATCGAGTGGAATAGGAAAGGCTCCAAGCCATGTTCCTATAAAGCTAGAAATTGTAGTGATCTGAAGACTGTTCTCCCAAATGGATGTAACTCTGTAAAACACAAATACGTAAATCACTGGTGGTATCTCTCTTAGCTGCTAGAGAATCAAAAAGTAGTGCCAATAACACTACACATACAGGTTCTGTTCATTTAACAACCAGCTCGAATTGACATCTACTTAACCCTGAACTATTAACGACCAATTAGGAAGATGATTTCAATGTTTTTCAGTTGGAAAGGTAGTATGTACACATGGTGAGAGTCAAACAATCGGAAAGAGCATTTGCAATGAAAGCTAAGTCTTCCTCCCACCCTTATCAACTCTGGTTCCTCTTCCCAGTAGCAGCTGTGATTACCAACAGAGTACATATCCTTCCAGACATAATAATAATTTATGCATGCACAAATATGTTTGGAATGATATATGCATAGATGTATACATCCTTTATCAAAACTCAAATGCATCATGTTATAAACCCAGTTTTGCTATTTTGTTTTGCCTTGTTAACAGCTATACTAGTACTCCATTACATGGAGCGACCATCACTTATTCAACTAGTCCTTCCTATGGCACATTTCATTTAAACAGATCAATTCTATTTGGTGGGGGAGGGGTAGAGAAAGAACAAAAGATTTCAAAAGATCCAGCAATTTCGCCTACCCTTCTTATTTATTAAGTGTGTATCTTAGAATATAAAGGTGAAAAGACACAATTCTGCCATTCTCTGCCCCTCAAAGTGTGACCACTCAGCCATGTGGAGCATGAGTCTGGTTACAGAAAAGTAAAACCCCACCACAACGTAGTACGTCGGGTTCCAAATATTCAGTTGTTTAAAATGCAAGGTTGACTTATTATCAAGTTTATGAGAAGCAGTTTCTTCCAGCAAGTGTGGGAATTACTGAAGACATCTGTTTTGTTAGAGGATTTCTTTCATTAGAAACAGGCCAGACACATAAAATATACATTGAATTAAAGTAGCCCCAAATGACACATCAGTTCATAAGCCAATCCCTCCATCAACTGTCTCTCTCATTACTGCCCCTCCCCCACGCTACAAAAGATAAGAACTTCAGCTCTTGAAATCGATTTTCTGGAAGAAGATTGGAGCCAACTGCCATAGGTCCAAATTCATATGACTTTCTAGGCAATTGTTATTGTTCTTTTTTATTTTATATAACACCTAAAAATGCAAGTCAATTTCTTTAGCCAGCATTCAACAAGAGAGCCGTTTCAATCTCGGAGGGGGAAAAAAAAACTGATGAGTTTAACGTAAAGAGGTAACTGTACTATTTGGACAATTCAAAGGATTTCCTAGGTTATTTTTGACCATCTGTGGCTGTCAAATGTTGGCTAGTTTTCACTTAACACACAACTCCTGTATGTCGCAATACATAATGTGTCTAGAGACATAAAGTCTGGGAGAGGTTGAGAGCCAGGTTTACTTTCTGCTGGGAGGGGTTTACTTCTTCCATTTTGTGGAAGAGAAAGTTGCGCCAGAACTGGAAGAACCAGTGGCATGTGGGCTTGATGAACTGGAGAAAGTCTTGCACTGCAGGTAGAAAGAAGGAAAGTAAGATTGGTTGAGGCTGAGTGAAGACGACGAAACAAGGCTGGAAAAGTAGGTCAGAGTTAGGATTTTTAAAAATAACATCTTCGCTGAATACAGTGAAAATCTGCCCCTGATAACCTTTCCCCAGTTCACATGTTTAAAGTGCACAACCCAATGTTTTTCAGTGCATTTACAGCTGTGCAACCATCATCCCAAAACGACACCCTTTTACCTGTTACCAATCACTCCCCATTTTCCCTTCCCTCCAGCCCTAGGCTACCATTAATCTACTATCTGTCTCCATGGATTTGCCTATTCTGAACATTTCATATACATGGAATCATACATCGTCTTTTGTGACTGGCTTCTTTCACTTAGCATAATGTTTTCAAGATCCATCCACTTTGCAGCATACTTCTTTTTTATTTCCAAATAATAATTTATTATATGGATACAATCACATTTATTTTTCCCATGTATCACTTCCTGGGACATTAGAGTTGTTTTGACTTTTTGGCCACTATGCATAATGCTACTATAAATAGTCACACACAAGTTTTGTGTGGACATATGTTCTGATTTTTCTTGGGGATACAGTAAGAAAAGGAATTGCTGGGTCGTATGACAACTATGTCAAACCTTTTAAAGGAACTGCTAGGCTGTTTTCCAAAGCAGCTGAGCCATCTTATATTGCCACTCACAATGTGTAAGGATTCCAATTTCGCCCCATCCTTGCTAATTCTTGTTATTACTGATCCCAGCCACCTTAGTGTGTGAAGCAGTATCTTATTGGGGTAGATTTAGGGTTAGGATTTTGGAAAAACCTGAAAAGTCACACTAAAGAAGCCACTGAAGGTTTTAAATCAAGGGAGATATGATAAGAGCTATGCTTCAACAAGGGTCCGGTACACGGTTTATCTAACATCTAAGCTCCAAGTTCCTTGGGCTAAGGGGCAAGATCCATGCCAGCACATTTTTCATTTTTATAGCACACTGAGGCCATCGTTTACAAAATGTGCAAATACATAAGAAGCTGTCCTCTATTTTGTTTGATGCATCCAAACAGGTTTATGATCTTACACATAATAAATATTTTAAAAAATGGACCTAAGACCTAGTTTTAAAAATAGAAAAACTCTGTAACATATCTTTGTAAAATTAAAATTTAATATTCATCAAAATCATAATACATATCAACACCTTCAAGGTCCCAGATCACAATCAGAGGGTGACACCTACTACCAATCCCTCCCTACAACCCTCTCTACTCCTTCCTGATTTCTGCTCCCAAGGCAGACACTGTAAACTCTTCACTGTTTCTTCTATGTACCTCAAAATGTAAAGATCATACATTAGGTATAGACTTTTCAAGATGTAGTTACTCCCTGCTTTCTACCCTGGAAGGAGAGGACATAGTACCCTTTCCCCACAAGCCTGTCATCAACACATACTCATCTCTCCCTGAATCACCATTCCCTCCTGCATGGTAACATTTTCTCTCGGCTGAATCAACAGCAAAGTATCTACATCATTACGGTCATGAAAACGTTCATGACAGCTGAACCACACAGTAAACCAGTCACATTTCTTTTTTTATAGTAATTTTTTCATGTTCTTTGGATGTTAAGAACTGCCTCATTTTATCCTCCATTTATGTACCTGTCACTAAACCATCCTCAAATATTCCAAAGAAACTAAACATCACCTCTAAATACTTGTTTGTGCTCTGTTTTCCTTCTGTCTTTCTTTTTGGAGGCACCTTACCTGCTCCCAGCTGGACAGGCCGCTCTCTAGGCCTTAGGCATAGCTGCTGTCCTGTAAGTTCCCTACACCGTTATCCTGTGAATTCCCTTTGCCTCTCTCAATGCTTTTTGGTGTCCTCCTTCCTAAACTCCCAAGACTTCCTTATACTCTCATTCTTCTTTCCTTTTTTTAAAGTACCTCCTTCAGTAGATTCCGGAAAAAGGGTAAAATAGATTTTAAAAACTGTTTAAAGTCTAAAAAGGACTTGACCGTAACTGTTGGAAATCATTTTGCCTCAGAATTTTGAAGGGATTGGTCCATTATTTTCTGTTTCCCACATGAAAAGTTCAGACATTTTGGCTCCCACTCCTCTCTAGGTAAGATGTTCCTCCCTCCACTGTCCTCTCTGGTAGCCTTTGGAATTTTCTCTTAACTCTTGGTTATCTAAAATTTCACAACCCTTTGTCTTGGAGTGGGTGTCTTTTCTCAGCCAGGACGCTGGAAACCCATGGGCCTTCTTAATCAATAATGTCAAGTCTTTTGGTTCTTGGCATTTTTTTTTTTAAAGATTTGCTTTTTCTACCCAGATCCCCGAAGATTGTCTTTTTCTTACTCTTTTGCTGGGAATACTACCATTTGGAATTAACCCTTTTTTATTTTTTTACCTTTTAATCCATTTTCCATATTTTTGCCTTTTCTGTTTGATTAAAGGAACTTTTTAACTTTTTGTCTCTATTTCTGTTGAACTTTTTTCTCTCCTATTTTTTAATTTCCAAGAGCCTTCTTATTCCCTGAATATTCCTTTTGACTGTCTCCTGTTCATGTCTTACGGATATAAAACAACAGACATTTTTTAGAATTATCTTCTGGTTTTTATATCACCTTTGTTTCTACCGAGTTTCTTTTTTGTTTTCATTTCTGCATTTCACGTTAGAGGTGTGCCTAAAACGCCTAGTGATCGTTCATTTCTCATTCTACTTAAAAATTAAAATATTTTACATGAAATGTTCAGAACAGGCAAATCTAGAGAGACAGCAAGTATTTCAGTGGCTGCCTGGGAAGGGGGTGAGGGGGTGTGCCAGGGTGGGTAGGAGGGGGACTGCTAATGGGACTGCTAAGACGTTCTAAAATTAGGTTGTGGTGATGGTTACAAAGCTGTGTCTATACTTAAAAGCCACTGAATTGTATACTTGAAATGGTGGGTTTTATGGTATGAAGTTGTATCTCAATAAAGGTATGTTAAAAAAAACAACAACAACAAAAAAGCAGCACACTAAACAGATGACTAGATGTTCACTGTGCATGAGCAGCACGAGTCTCCTGGTGGGATTCACTGTACCAGGGAGTGAATAGGAACCCTGCCTTTCAGAGAACCCTCGAATGTCAGTAACTGTAGGTTTTTCTTTTGTGCCGTTTTTTCCCTGAAAGTACTTCTATACCCTGCCAAGCCTGGCTGTCAGTATTCTGGGCCAAAGGAGTGAAAAGGACTAGGCATGTGAGGATTCATCATTCAATACGTAGAATTTCATTTAATCCCCATTCCCTGAAGAGACTGTACCAAACAGCTGTAGGATCTGGGGCCAGCCAGAGTAGGTGGGGGTAGAGTTGTATTTACTCCATCTTCCCTTCCTCTGCTGTCTAACTTCTATTGCTTATATTACTTTTATAGTGCTCCTATTTTGTTCACTGGAACCCTAATTTGCAACTACTTTTTTTAATGTAGTGAGTCCCCTTAATGTGCAAACTGCACGATTCCT